ACAAAAAAAAAAAAAAAAAAGCCTAAGCCTTGGTTCTGTTTCTTTCACATTTCTTCCTACTTCCCACAGATAAGCATTATAGGAAAACTTGTGTGTGGTATTTGACAGGATGATTCCTAAAGGATCACAGTACTCTTTAGTCTCTGTCATACACAAGCAATGGCCCTCCATCTTGCAGGGAAGTTTAGTAGGTTTGGGCATCCCAGGGATGTGAACCAACCATATATGGGTTACATTGTAACCTACAATGACCTACAAAACATTTTTAATGAATAAGCATTGATGTGAGAGGTATTTCACTGTATCATTATACACACTTTGAAAATAAGTTGAGACAAAAGAAAGAATCTTCCAAATTTAAGACCAACGTTTTAGGGAGAAGTTGAAGGAAAGGAAATGTCACAGAAAAAATGGCCCCTAAGGTCCACAGAAGCTGCTCTTTTTTCTGATTTTGTTTTTATTTCCCTTGCTTACAGCCTCCTTAATGAAATAGAGTCCATGAATCTAAGGTGGAGTTGCTGTGGTTTGGTTTCAGTTGGTTCCCCAGAGATTCATGTGCAGGACACTGGCTTCATGGTAGTGGCATTGAGGTGGTAGAACCTTTAAAATGTGAGGCGTGGGGGAGGTGATTGGATGGTGTGGGCACTGCCCTCAGAACAGATTAATACTGATCTGTCAGACCTACTCCCCGGAATTAGTCCTCTAAAGAGAGGTTGTTACAAAACAAAGCAATCCGGCACACTTGGTCCCTTCCACAAGGCTGTTTCCCTTCCCACTTCTCCACCATGTGGCGATATAATTGGGGTGGGGGGGTCATCACTAGAGGCCCCCCAGAAATGGAGCTACCCAATCATAGATTTTTATCCTCCAAAATTATGAACTAAATAAATTTTGTTACCTTATAATTTACCTTGTGTCTGGTGTTTTGTTAAAGCAACACAAAATAGACTAAAACAAAGGTTTATCTTTAAAATTTAAATGAAAACTCTGCTTATATTCAGTCTGGAAACAATTTCATAATACAGGACCAATCTAACTTCTGCATTTATTGTGTCTTAGAAATCAACGAGTTTCCCCCCTGTTTTGCTGAATTATGGGGAGCTGCACTTAATCTTATTATAGCCTGTCCTTTTTACACCAATTTGGCTTAATGCTGAAAGAACCTTCAGCTTCAAAGAATGCTTCTGCTATTCCCCATCCCTCTACCCCCACACTTGCTAGGTGGGGTGGGACGGTGGCAGGGAAGTCGAGAAGGAAATCAGTTAATTGCAGGCTGTCAGAGTTGTTTTAGGTGACTCTGTACTTCTTGAATTTAGATCAACATGAACTGTAGATGTTCAAGCTGGGAATTCAAATAGCAACAAAAAAAGCCTGGGTTTTGCTAATGCCAGGAATGACTCATTTGGTGAGAATGGCATTGTATTGATGATACAATACAGAGAGGAGGAAAAGACTGTGGGATCTGCTTTCTTTGTGTTTTTGACCTTGAGGAGAAATATAACTTGTTTGTTGCAGAAGTTGAACATCTAATGTGTTGTTGCACCTGTTAGTTCTTATGTACTAAATGGCACAGCACTTGCAGATCCCTGTGATTGCTTTGTGGGTGAAATATTTTCTGCAATCTGGTGAGCTGGGTTTTTAACAAATAATATATTCAATTGTGTTTTTTGCATTCTTTCTTTTTCAAAAGTATGCTTTCTCATTCTGTTTCAATACGTTGGTATTATCATTTCATCATAGAATATGTTTGGCTTTGTATTTTCAAGGTAACATTATAATTTTTTTTTCTTATGATAGAGACCATGAACCTGGCAACTCCTGCCAGGAAGCTGGAAGAGGTTCTTCATCTAGCAGAGCTCTGCATAGAAGTCTTACAGCAGAATGAAGAGCATCATGCAGAGGTGATCACTTGTTTTAAACAATGATGTGTGAAGCTCTACTTAAACCTCTGTCATAGTGGAAACAACACTGAAGAAGTACCTTGAGCCTAGTCTTGATACACATCTGGCTGTTCACATGTAGAAAGCTGAAACTATATGTGAATATCCTGGAAATGAACTCCTGTATATTCTAAAGCATATCCTTGCAAGTATATGGCATGCACATCTGATAAGAATCATGTTATGGGAGAAATTATGAGATTAATCCCAGAATTCATAAAGACTACAAAGCAAAGCTGAAACACAAATTCTTCTTGTGATTCCAAATTCCATATTTTTACTCCGGCACTATGATCACCTTAGGTTTAGAAATGTAAATCAATACTAAAATAGAAATTTTTTGTAAGCTTCAAGATGAAATGGAAGAGAAAACATTCATAATTGTATATACCTGATAACTCCACCCTCCTACCATCAAACTTTAAGTTTTCACTACCCTGGCATTGTTTATCATTTATAAAATTTCAGTTACATATTAACATTTACATCTGTAATATTTGTTCACCAGGTAAATTGCTTATTCTAAGACTTAATATTTTCACCCCTAATAGTTGTGATTTTAGTTACAGAACAAAATAATTCCTGACTTTAAATTGGGTAGAGGAAAGTGTGGAATTATATAAATACAGTAAACTTAAGTGCCCTGAAAGGACCTTTATTCTTGAGTATAGACTTGAAATGCACAAGAAAAAAAATGACCAGATACATATGCATTGATAGAATATTTAAATGTAATGAAACTTAGTTCTCCGAAATACAAAAAGCTACAGGATCTATATTTCAACCAAATTCTTGGAAAAGAGTATTCATGAAATCTTTCTACAGGTAGCTAAGATTTATTGTCTCTGGTTATAAATATGATCATTCAAAACATCTGCTTTTAGCTCACACTGTGGAATCTAGGTTTTAGCTCACATCTGTCATGTGTGAACTTGTTATGGATATTTTATTTTAAACTGAAGAAACAGCTGCTTCAATAATTTCAAATGAATTCCCAGGAGGATCCTTTCTAGACTAGTACCACTGCAATGTTACAATGAAAATGATTATATGATAAAATATACATGTTTTTTCTTTGGTTTTTGTTAAAAGGCATTATCATAAGAGTAATGAGCCTTTCTAAATTAAAAAAATGCTGTATTGTACAATTGCAGTATACATTTTAGTTAAACAGGTATATATAATATTCCTACCCATTTTAAAGAAATTAAAAATTATTTAATATAATCTATGCAATCATAAAAATAATTGCTAAAGTATAAGGTATCAATACAAATATTTGTTTTATAATCCACAAAAATACAATTGACTTTATTGAAATAGACAGTCCTAACATAAATACTCTTCTTTGTGCTAAATGTAAAACTATTGTGATGAGTTCTTTTTAAAATGCTTTGTAACACTATGGCATTTTTCTATTCCACAATGCTTCCAAATTCTTGGAAATCCTCAGGGAAGAGAGGTGAGTAAAATTGTTTCCAATGTTTTCCTGGCATGAGAAATTCTTTATGTGAATTTAAGAGACAGGCCATTCTGATAATAGTAATTCTAAAGCCAACTTAATCCAGTTCATGGAATTATAGACTACTTTTCTTCAAATGGGCTAATCTTTGTTGCACCGTATGGGTGAATGTCTCTTATTAAAAACCATATACATAATAACTGCCAACTTCTAAATCAAACAAAACCAAAGAGCCTTTGGTATTTTTTTTTCCTTTAAATCAGGTCTAGCTTTTTCTCTGAGCAATACTGGAGAGTGAATTGGTGTGATTCCAAAGTCATTTCCAGAGAGAATTGGTGGCTGCACTCTACACTGAGATCTATTTTGCTGGATGTTCAAGTTAGAGTTTCTTGACTCCATGAAAGAGCACCTAGCTCAGCTCCCTAGAGAAGGTTAATGTGTCTGCCTCAGAGAGACCCTCAAGTGGCTCGTGTGTCAGCTCCTTTCTTTTCATTCTACTTCTCTCCACAGTGGTGGTTTACTTTCCAGGGCTGAGAGGTTGTTTCCATCCTTCAACAACTTTCAGTTAAACAGGTTTTGTGTCCTTCAGATCTTTGACAGTAACTTACTTACCAGGCAGTCTTGCCTTCTCTCTGAAGGCCTCTCAACCTCTCCTTACAGGCTTTTCTTTAGAATTCCTGTGTTTTCTCCTCAGGTGATTTAAGCTCCTTTCCAGAATATTTTTAAGACTGTCTCCACACTTCATTGACTAACACATCTGACCAGAAATTTCAGGCAAACTGATCTGAGAACTCCTCATCCAAAAGCCACTCATTTTGACAGAGCTGGGAAGTCCTGGCACCTACTGGGAAAGCATTTGGCTTTCCCAGCAGACCCTCCACACACCATTTTTCTGACAAGAAAGCAGTCCCAGAAAGGTTGAGCAACTTGTCAAAGGTGCCCAGCTGGTTTATGACTAGATGAAAACTCAGGCCAGACTCCCAACAGACATTTTCTAATTAAGTCATTGATATTTTCCTGTTCAAGTAGACTGGTTGGAGTTTCACTTAACATAACGATCTCCAGTTCCATCTGTGTTGTCACAAATGGTAGGATTTCATGATTTCTTATTGCTGATTAATATTCCATTGTGTATATGCACCACATCTTTTTTTATTAATCAGTTGATGAGCACTTCGGCTGTTTCTGTTTTTTGCCTGTTGTGAATTGTACTGCAACAAACATGGGAGAGTACATGTCCTTTCTACCTACTGATTTTCTTTTCCTTGGATATATACCCAGAAGTGAGATTGACGAATCATGTAGTAGTTCTATTTGTAACTTTCTCCAGAACTTTCATACAATTTTCTATAATGATCATACTAATTTACATTACCAACAACAGTGTGCAAAGTTCCTTGTACTCCATTTCCTCAACAGCAGGTTATCATTTGTATCATTTGTACTCTTGATAATGGCCATTCCAACTGTAATGGAGTGATAGCTGTCTGCTTTGGATTGTATCTCCCTAATCATTAACACTCTTGCACATTTGTTCATATACTCTGTTCATTTGCATGTCTTCCTTTCAAAAACATCTATTTAGATCTGTTGCCCATTTTATAATCAGATTTTTATTACTAAGTGAATACCTTTATATATTCTGGATATTATCCCCTTGTTAGGTGTGTAATTTGCAAATATTTTCTCCCATTCTGTATATAGTCTCTACATCCTCTTGATCCTTCTGCTGTACAGAAGCTTTTTTAGTTTGATGTAATGTCATTTATTTTGCTCTTTTTTTTTTTTTTGTACTTTGGGGTTTTATCCAAAAACAATCATTGCCCATTCCAATGTATTTTCCCTATGTTTTCTTCTAGGAATATCATAGTTTCAGCTGTTACATTTATTTCTTTAATCTATTTTGAGTTGATTTTTGTAACTGATGAGAAAAAGGGATCTAGTTTCATTCTTCTGAATATGAATATCCTCACAACATTTTTCCAAAAAATATTGTCCTTTCTCCCTGATGTGTGCTATTAGCACTTTTGTCAAAGATCGGTTGGCTATAGATGTCTGAGTTTACTTCTAGGCACACTTTTGTTCCGTTGATCTATATCTTTTTAAATGCCAATTCTATGCTGTTTCAATTACAATAGCTTTATAGTATATTTTAAAGTTAAGTAGTATAATGCCTCCTGCTATGTTCTTTTTGCTCACCATTGCTTTAACTATTCTGGGATATTTTGCGGTTTCATGAATGTCGGGTTTTTTTGTTTGTTTGTTTTAGTTTTCTGAAGAAAGTCATTAATACTTTGATAAGCACTAACATTAATTCTATAGGTGGACATTATAACAATATTAAGTATTCCAATCCATGAACATGGATGTCTTCCATTTCTTTATGTTCTCTTCAATGTCTGTTATCAGTGCTTTATAGTTTTTCACTGAAGAGTTCTTTAACCTCTTTGATTAAATTTATTCCTAGGATGAGGAGTAATAGCACACGCCAGTAATCCTAGCTACTCAGAAGGCAGGAGGATAAGGAGGCTCAAGGCCAGCCTGCACAATTTAGCAGTACTCTATCTCAAAAGAAAAAAAGGCTGAGGATGTAGTCTGGCCCTGGTTTCACTCTCTAGTAAGAGAGGGAGGGAGAGACAGACATAGAGACAGATTATATCTAGATATTTAATTTTTAAGTACATAAAAATAATACATTACACTGACATGAAGCATTTTCTGCTCATCAACTTTTTTGGTTATTTCATTATTTATGTGTGAACCTGATAATCAAGGAGGTGATCCAAATTGTGAGTCAGAACAATTATAAAAATCTTGTATTAGTTTGATACCACTTCAGGTGTCACCCTGAATGTTCTAGTCCATTCTACTTGCCCCTTCAACAAATCTAAATATTCCTAGAATATGGCCTTTCTGCACACCCTGAGCTGTGTGTGAGTATGTGTACACATAACTGTCAGGGGCAGAGAATCTAGACATGGGATTGTCCCCAAAACTTTCAGATCATCTACAAATTAGAGAATCACAAACTAATGTTAGCTTGGGAGGAAAAAAGCACATCAAATGCATTCCAAAGTCAGGATCACTACTTTTGACCACTTAGGCAGATATCCTCCTTTTTATGTTTTAAATTACAAATTTTATCACATTTTGAGGATAAAAATAATCAAATGCCTCAGACATCAGAGAGATTTGGAAATATTTTAAAAATCAGGTCATAATAGATGTTTCTGGCAAGAAAAAAATCAAAAGACATTACTTTCTGACATGCAAAGCATAGATAGTTGACTGGTTAGCAGATGGGTGGGTGAAGGACAGCCAGTGCCCTTTTGTATTTATTTAAGAGACTGGATATGTAAGACTTGACCTCTAGACTCCAACTGAACTACATTCAAATCAATGCTCTCTTATCTACCAACTCCATGACTTGAGCAAGGCATTTAATATCTGTTTGCTAGAATAAAATAAGGGCAACTGTACCATCTACCTGAAAGGATTATTTGGTGAATTACTTGGTTCATCAAACCCAGGTCCTTCACACTGAGCTATATGCCCTCCTTTGGTGTGGGGGGAACGGAGTTGACACAAAGTCTCTCTAAATTGCTGAGCATGGGATGGAATTTAATCCTCATGCATCATCCTCACAGCGTTGTGGTTGCAGGGGTGCACCACCACATCAGTGTGGACATTGTGTTTAAATCACACAAATGCACATCATAAGAACTAGGTGAATTTTAACACCTTTTTATAATTACCAATAACTATATGTTATAGCAGTAAATTTTCAGTTGATTTGATTTTTTCACATGGGCGCATATTGCTGTTGTCAACTTCCAGATGAAGGAAGGGGAATATCCACACAGAGAAATGATGTGTCCTGATTACTTAAGTCCCACCACTAAATTCGAAAGCTCTACTTTGCTTCCAGGTTCAGGGTTTATTCTTACTTGCCACTATTTTGAACTATATTTGGTAAAGAGACCAACCCTTCAAAATATTATCAGCTGACCGCCTCCTTTTATTTCCTTCTTAAACAACTGCCACATTGCCTTGTGCCTCTGCCATCTCTTTGCACTAATTAGTGACTTAGCCTTAAAGGCAAGATAGTGTTAGCCCCAGGTAATCATGACTTTTGATTGCTGACCCACTGACAGATGTGTTTCTGAGAAGGGTTTTCTCTTGCCCAGTGGAGCCCCCGATCCTGTTGAGCCTTTGCCACCTCCCTTGAAGTGGGACTGTAGGGAGGAAATTATGTAGCCTCTCTTCTTGTCTCCAACCCAGGGTGGGGCAACTGCTGCCAGTGGAATAGTAAGAAAGAGAAATGATCTTGTGTCTTCACAGTAACTGCAACTCTTGCTTTGAATTTTTAAAGAGTGTTTGCTTAAAGCTTTCTCCAGTCATCATTAGAATAGCAGGGACTTGTCACATATTGGCTTACATCCATCAGGAATAACACCAGGAGTACAATGTGAGGCATAAATATATACTTTGGAAAGATATGATGAGATTGTCTAGGTGATGGGCAAATCTCAAAGCTGTTTTTTGAAAGTTATATTCCATTACTTTTCATTCTTCACCCTGACTCATCCAAGTTACTTTAAAACAAACTTTTGAGAAATGTTCTCAAAGCCTTGAAACCATCATGACCTAACACGACTGTTATTTTCTTAATTTTAACCTTCTTCAAAGGTATTGGCTGTGAACTAGAAGTGAGATTTTGAAAATGTTTCTCTTTGCAGTACTGCTTTCTTACTAGGGTTTCTGTACTGCTAGTCTCAGGTTCTATCTGCTTCACCACCATGATAGCTCTAAGAGGGCAGGAACAATATATGTAGGCAAATTGTCTTTTTTATTGTTAGGCTATTTGTTATATACCTATTCTAGTAGTTATTTAACAAAAAAAGCAAAGATAATATTTGCAAAGAATAGTATGCTCAATACTATTTACATAGAACAGAGCATTCCCAATGAGTTTTCACATCCCATATTTATCACAGCATTGAGCCAGACATTGAAATGTACCTAACTCGTGTCTATTATTTATTCATAATACATTTTTCTTCTTAAGTCAACTTTCTTTTTTTTGCCATATTGGAGATTGAAGCCGGGGCTTTTGCACTGATCTATATCCTTAATTCTTATTTCTTTTGAAATGGGATCTTTCTAAGTCTCTACATTGCTCAGACTCATCTCAAACTTTTGATCCTCCTGCCTCAGTTGCCCAGGGTGCTGACATCGCAGGCATGGTGATGCCTAGCTCCTTATGTCAACTTTTTCTTCTATTGATCAAATTCTAGTTGTATGGCAATTTTTATACTAATATTTTATTGTAATATATTAAGGCCATATCCACTACACGTTTTGATAAAATAGTGTGTAAACATTTTATAACTTTCTTTTTTGTGTTGATTTATCTCCTTCAATTATGATATAGTGTACAGTTGAATAAATTAAATGAAATTTGAAAATAAAATTGGACTTCTCCCAACTTTATTGTTCTAAATCTTTTTTGATGAATAATTTTAATTGGGAGAATGAAAATATTCCAAAGTCTATATTTTTTATAGTTACTTGTTTAAAAGATCATGGTACTGCCTAAAGCTCAATAGAAACATAGAAGAGGAAGTGCAAGACAGTTCACTAAAAAGTGATGTCGAAAATGGCCCTTAAAACCCTCCTCCATTGGTAGTGGGAACGTAAACTAGTGAAACCACCATGGAATTCTATTTGGAGATTCTACAAAAAACTAAAATTGAAATTTCATTTGACTCAGCTATACCTCTTCTGAGTATATTCCCAAAAGAGTTAAAGATATTTTACTATAGTGATACATGTATACCCATTTTTATAGCTGCATAATTCACAATAATTAAGCTCTTAGATCTCCATCAAAAGACAAATGAGCCAAAACCTATGGTATAGATATGCAATGGAATACTACCTAGCCATAAAAATAAAATAATTGATTTATAGAAAATCATATTTTAAGTAAAATAAGTCACAGCACAGAAGTTAAATATCACATGGTTTTGCTTCTTTGAAAAGCCTAAATCATAAATAAATATAAGAGTAAAATAAAGGAGAGATTCTAGAAAATGAAAAGGCAGACTTTTTAGAGATATGCATGGTAATCAGGGAAGGAAAAAGAGGACTATGGGCAGGGTAAAGGATGAAAAATGATCAAGATATGCTATATACATGTATCAGTTCCCCAAAATAAACATAACACTAGGTATTACAAACATATACTAATAATAAAAAAGGAAAAAATGGTCCTTATATGTGTGAAAAGTTGTTTAAATTTATTTATAATTAGAGAAATTATACAAAGTACAATTGTACAAGGTACAAAGTGAAATTGTACAAAGTAAAACAAAACTAAAACCAAAGAAGTCCCCATTGTTTTTCAAGAACTCTAAAAACTAAGTCCTATCCTCTCCTACCAAACCGCAGAGATGTTTTTTAAGTGATTACATCTGTTAGCTAAAAGGCATAAAGTGCCCAGCTATGTAGAAAATGATGACTAGGTCATACACAAATTGGCTGTACAGTGTTTACAGTCTAATTTAAGAGGGAGACGTATATGTAACCTAATAAGCAGAGCTAGGTTCTGTGAAGTAAAAAACACCGGATAGCCGAGTGTCTATCAAAGAGTATCTAATTTATATTCAATGACCAGTAAATCTTCTTTATGAGGTTATATTTTAGACCCACAGCAAGGACCTCATAAAAAGCTTTATGTGTCTCTTAAAGGGTTCAAAATTTACTGTAAATTGAGACACTTAAAAAAATAAATTTAAAAGGGCATTAGTGTGCTGAGCATGGTGACACACACGTGTAATCCCAGCACTCGTGAGGCTGAGGCAGGAGGATCACTGTGAGTTTGAGACCAACCTGGGCTACATAGTGAGTTCCAGGTCAGTCTCACTACATAGTGAGACTCTGTCTCAAAAAACCAAAACTAAAAGGCATTAGTGTATCCTGTTTATGTTTTAAAATTTATAAAATTATGATCTGCTGATATATGAAGAATGGACAGGGGCAAACATTTTTCCTAGAGAGGAATTGCAATGTGTAAAGACTCTTTAAAATATCTTTTAATCCAGTAATTCTTAGTTTTTCCTAAGGAAATTGTCAATATTATATTCAAAAGATTTTTATATAAAAATGCTTAACACATTATCATTGCAAATTGAAGATAGCCATTTTAGTAGGGAAATAGTTAAATAACAGTATATCCTTAATATAGAATATTATCCCATCATTAAAAGGAAAATATTATAGACTAAATGTCAAATGTGTTAACATTTTTCTTCACATAAAAAAGAAATATTACAAAGGAATACACCAAAATATTCATAGTAGTTATATTTAAATTATGATATATAAGAAATTTGTATTTTCTACTATAAATCTCCTAATGTTATAAATTAAACATTATTTTTATAGAACAGTATATGACTATATATTTTATAGTTTTGGTTTCATACTTTATACATAAATATGAAATCAATTATGTATATTCTATACTTTTCTTGTCACAAAATACTAGATTTTATTGTACTTGTTTGTGAAACTAAGACACGTTACAAAGTGTTCTCAAGACTTACCATATCTGTGTACGTTTCTAACAAGCAACCTATTTCTGCTTTCTTTCTTTATGTTCTTATAGGCATTTGCCTGGTGGCCTGATTTATTGGCTGAGCATGCGGAGAAATTTTGGGCTTTATTCACAGTAGATATGGATACTGCACTGGAGACTCAACCACAAGACTCCTGGGATAGTTTTCCTCTTTTCCAACTGCTTAATAATTTCCTCAGAAACGACTGTGAGCACTTGTATTTTCTTTCACATGTGAATCGGGGAGGCGGGAGAACGCCATGTGTGTAAATGTGTATTTACTTTAGCCCTGCCCTGCAAGAGCTGACTTGCGTGTTATCACTGTCTGCTTAGCTTTCAGAGCTATACTGTGCCAAGGTCTGGGTGAGACCAGTGACACCCCCAAATTGCTTCACTGAGTTCTGAAGTTCCCCTTGTCCCTACCCTCCAGCATCCACTGAGGACTGATTGCACAGGCACCCTTCTCATGGCACAATGTAAATCAGAAAATCTGCCCAGGGCTGCACTTCTGAAGTACTTTAAGAATGCTTGCATCTCAGAGACTTCAGAAAATTATCATTTTTCTACAAATGGTTCAATGTGAGAGCTCCTACTACCATGCATTGTGGTGATACTCTTGGCCCGAAAGTGGATTTATCTCTTCAGATGATAGTATTTTGTCGCTAAGTGGTATGACCCACCCATTCAGTATTGAGAATTTAAAGAGAATGTAAAGGTCCTCTATGGAGACTTTTTTTCTCAATGAAGTCATGAGTTTTACAGATACTCTGGTAGATAGTCTAGCAGCAGTGCGCTATAGACCAAGTTAAACTCTGCCTCTTCCTAACCTCTGTTCTAACTCATTCTCCTTGATCAGTGAAACAGTCGTCTTCTGTCCTGAATTTTCTTCTCCAGGGCGTTATTCGCACGTCATTTAAATCTCCCTCACAGGGTATGTCCATCACCACTGTCATCACCTACCTGCACAGACATCACTGCACTTCTCGGTGTGGCCCTGGAGTGTGGTGCTGAGAACCAGTGCTCACCTGAACCTCCCAGACCCCAGTGGGAGGGACCGTTCTTCTGGCCTGTCTTCCTGGAGCCCAGGGTTGTCTGCCCTCCCCAAGGATCACACTATTGATACATTTAGAACGTTCTCAGTAAAAACTCCACATCTTTTGTTACTCTCTTCCCCAAAGGCCATTACTACATTTTTCTACTTTTAACCTTAAATCTGTGTTTTTTACAGTTGTCTTTTTTTTTTTTTTAATACTACTGTGTTGGTTTTGCTTATCACTCTGGTCTAATGTTTCTTATCTTTCTTCAGTTGTTGCCTTTGAGTCTCTGCTAAAACTTGCTGGGGGTTAAGGGGAAGTTTACATAGAGAAGAAATTTCATGTACCATTGTACTCCTTGTGGACATCCTAGATTTAGAACATTAAGCAGGTTAAGAACCTCTGTCCTAGGAAGAGATGTCATGTATAAAAATTAATAATGTTGGCTTTGGGGCCAAACAGATTCGCATTTCTTTGCCACTTACTACTTAATTTCTGACAATAGTTTAGCCTCTAAGCTTTATGTTATGTACCAATAAAAGAAAAAATAACACTGACAATATCACTAGTTTTGATTAAATAAAATAATAATAGATGCTCCATAAAACTGTAGATGCTATCAGTTTTCGCTCTAAAATTTTTCTTGAATACTTTAAGTCATCTTATTTTTTCTTCTATTCTATTTCATTGCATTCCCAAAATATGCCGTTATAAAGTCAAAGAAGTGACAGTTCCTCCTTTGGATTCAAACACAGTGCCTCCTCTCAGAAGTTGCTAGTATCCACATTTAATTATCCATATATGGATTATTCATTCTGCAAATTAGCCTTAGCCACCTTTGAAGGTCCAATTTTGTTCCTACCTGCCACCTAGCAGACTTTGAATGACCTCTTTATTTCTTGGTCTCGTATTATCATTTACATTCTGCTAACGTAGTACGAGACTGGTTTTGTTTTTGTTTTTGTTTTTGGTACCAGAGATCGAACTTGGGACCTTATTGCCTGTAAGGCAGACATGATGCCACTGAGCTAAATCCCCAGTCATAAGTCTGGTTTTTAATCTTATCTTAAGGCACATATTATAATAATAAACCTACCAAAAATAATACATATATTAATTTCCTAAATTAGGATAATGAAGTGTAGAATTTTTTCTAATGCTGTTTTCCTTATTTGAATGAAAACTTCTGAATCAACTATGTTTAGATTTTCTTAGAGTTTAAAAATAGTTATTTAATAATGTTCACAGTCAAGGAGTTAGTACTGTTGATAAATTGCTTAACTTATTCAAAATATTTAAATTTGTTTTAAATAGCAAAAACAAAACATTTTGTGGATTTCTTAGAAATTTTCTTGGGAAGCCACTACTACAACTCTGATGTGTTAAAATCTTTTTATGTTTACTCTTAAGAATTCTTTCATTAAAAGGATAAATTTTTTGCCTTACAAGAACAACAAAAGTTTAATATTCAGGTAGACTTGCAAGTATTTAATTCACAAGAATTTCATATTCTTCTGTCTTATATCATATCTATAACATGCATACTACTAAATATGTATTGTTTTATATACTTTTAAAATACTCATTGTAATCCAAGAAGCATTTGTTACTGATCTCTTTTGAGCACTGTCAATTTTGAGGGTAAGTATAGATTTTAGCTTTGATTTTGCAGTAATTAGTAGATTTTAGAAAACATCAATTATTTCTCAGAAAAACAGCTCCTTTATGTAGTGCGGTAAATAGAAAAGTTCCCCAGTGCCATAATTTCCTTTCCGTACTAGGAGCATGATGTGATCTGGGGAATTGAAATAGAATGGAGTAACTTTCACCACCAACTCACAAGTTCCTTCCTAAAGCCAAGACCAATAAATAACATCTCAGTGGTTTGTAAAGCATAATTTTTCTAGACATCATCCTTGATGACACTAATGAATATTATTAATAATTATGTTTGTCTCATTACATTCATTACTCAGATGGAGACTTAGTGAATTCAGTTCAATTGTTTAATGTCCGCTCAAGCTGCCCCCAAATTATCCTTTTCAAAATCTATGGGAAAACATTGAGCATCTAGCCTTTTAGCCCCCTCTGAAAAAAGAAAATAGCCTTGGCACTGCAGTTTGGCCATATTGACCCAATTAGAGTTATAGATCAAATCCCAATTAATTGTAGCTTCAAATAGCTGAGGGTACGAGGAACACAGAGCTCTGAATAGCCACACTTGGGAAGGGAGATAATTTGCTGAATAATACTGTTTACTAACAGATAGAATTCACTGTATGTGTATGTGTATGTATTATAAAAGTTGTGCTACTAATTATGTACAGATCTTAAATTACTGTGATTTATTACTAGGAAATAATTAACAATTCATACTAAAATTACAGATTATTACTAATAAGTAACTAGTCTCTTTTCTTTTCTAAAATGTAAAATTGCTAAGACCTGGCAAAGAAATGGAAACAATAGTTCAAATCTATACGTTCTTTGTAACTTGAGAACCTTACAGCAGAGGGATTTTTTTCATGAAAAAACTCAGGTGTTCCCATAAATTATTTACCATCTTTTTATTATAATTTTTATGCTTTGATATTTTAAAATAGGTGTTTATCTTCTAACTTGTGGAGGGGACCTTAAACAAGCTTCTTCATTTTCCTGCTGAGGAAACTAAATCCCTAAAAGGCGGGGAGCCTGGGCAGGAGCTTGCCCACAGGGAATCTGGGAAGGAGGAAAATTGGTATAGAAAGGATCAGTTGGCCCAGGGATTTAGCTCAGTAGCACTACACACCTGCCTTGCAAGCACAAGGTCTCTGAGTTCGATCCCCAGTACCCAAAAAAAAAGTATCAATTATAGGTATGTATTGTCTTAACACATATGTAAGGCAGTGTTTGGGACAAGATTTCCGGGAGCTGAACTAATCAGTGGGAAAATGGCTTAAGAACTCAAATTCAGTTTCTATTATACGTAAGCCACATCATGTCTGCAGTACGTGTCTTGCCTTACAGTTAGCCAGGATTGTAGCGCTAAGAACCCTTGGAGATGAAATGCATTTTCCTCCAGGGAAGAGGACCAGGTGCACCACACTTTGAGCCACTGTCCCCAGTTTTCCTTCCTCACAGCTCACACACTGATTCCCAGAGCAAGACTGATGACAAAACAAGCTGAGGCTCCCTCGTTGCTGGCCAAAAAGGACCAAGCTCCCGTGTGTCTTTTACCCTGCCTCTATTACCCCAGCCATTGCCCCCTAATAAAGACAGCAATAGCTGGACAGTCAATTTAAATAGTATCTGAGGAAACAATTTTAAAAGAAAGATGCCCTGGGCCAGGGATTTAGCTCAGTGATTCGGTTACCTGCCTCGCAAGCGCAAGGACCCGAGTTCAATCCCCAGTACCACAAAAAAAAAAAGAAAGAAAGAAAGAAGGAAAGATGCCCTGAAAATGAGGAGAAATAAATGTTTTCATGATGAAGCAATTAGCATGGTAGTTAAATGATACTGAATGACTGTAAAGCTAGTACAAATAGATTCTAGCCCTGCGTGCTATTTTCCACAGTTGTCTCATGGAGAATAGATATGGCAAGTGACTGCTTCTGACAAATGAAAGCCATCTGCAAATGGTACAGATCATTTCTGTCAGCGCCACTGAAAGGCAAACCCTTGGAGCTAGTCACCTTTGAATCTGTGGATATGCTAGTAAGTGGCAAATGACCATTCTATTGGGAACTGATTCCCAAGTGAAAAATACCACGGTGCTTCTTCTTTAATTAACAGCCTTTTCACATTGCTAGCACATTAAAGCCATCCTGAAGAACACCCGTGCTTATATAATCAATGTCACAGCGTCTCTGCCTAAACAAATAATAAATGTTCAGGCTCTGCACTAAGTGAAAACCTGTTCTCCAAGACTTTCACCTTCATAAAGATGGGCTCATAAAAATCAAAAAAGGAAAAATTGGAATGTGGTCTCATGAGGATAAAAAGGCTAGTGTTAATAATTAACAAGGAGAGTGAAGTGGAGTCAAATTAGCCATAATAGAGCCCAGAGTGACTGGCAAAGTCACCTCTCATTATCAAAAAACTCATTAAGAAATGAAGAGGTGGAAATCCCGCTGGGTTATTCTCACACTTAGGCTGTATCAGCGATTATTTTTCAGATTTCTTTCAAATGAAGAAT